CTCGTGGGCTCGTTTCACGAGCGGCTCGGTGAGCCGCTCGTGAATAGTGACGAGCAGAGCGGGCTCGGCTCGTGCTCGTGCTCTCTTTTTAATGAGTCTGAGCGGCTCGTGGGCGTGAACAGTACTAGCTGAGCGACCGAGCCGACGAACCGCTCGGCTCGATTGACACCACTACTCGCACGCACTTACTATCCATGTTCAATCTGTCATATGGAGACTGAATTGTTGAATACCCATAGGTGGAATTGTTGCTTTGTGATCAAATGATGCCAAAATGGGTGGTCCGCAATCATGGATCCCACCACCGTCACCGAAAATCACAACCGAAAGTTACGTTTTCACTTGATTCGAAAAATGGGACTGTAAATTTTGATCATGTGGATTTATTGATGTTGCAAGACCATGAATAGGTGCGCCCTGATAGGTATAGTCGACCGGTATGAAAGAAGGGTCATGGGTCTCGTCGGAGAAGGTGATGTAGTCGATTTTTATGTTGATAAGTTGCTGATTTCGGCCATCGATTTCGGCCAAATTTGGTGACGTAAGGGATGGTGGCTGGATGGTATGTGTAGAGGAGAGTGAGGGCTATCTAATGGTATGGAGTTCCGTTGGTTTGGGTGGTGGTTGGGCGAAGAAAGTGATGTAGTCGGTTTTTGTACTGACAAGTTGCTGATTTTGGCCATCGATTCCAGCCAAATCTGGTGAAGTTATGGCTGATGGCTGGGTGGTATGTGTAGAGGGGAGTGAGAGTTGTCCAATGGTATGGAGTTCCGGTGGTTTGGGTGGTGGTTGGTCAGAATTTTTGGCGTAGGTTTGATTTTTAATTATACATTGGGGGACTCATATGTAGTCTTTTGAAATTTTGGGAATATAATTCTAATTTGTTCTTTATTTTTTGTTCTTTTTTTTCTTTTTGTTTTATTTAAATATGAGGGCATTTTAGTCATTTTACAATTTTTAATTGAAAAAATATATGAAAATAATAATTTCCGCAATGAAACATGGAAATATGAGTGAAAATGCAAGACTTTGAAACATAAGGATGTTTTGAACACTAAAGGCCAAACATAAGAACGTTTTATGCTAATAAACCTTTAAAAAATAAACAAAGCTATAAAGTATAAGAATGCGATAAACGTTCGAAATTCATATTGTGTAGTAGTATCTTATGATCGGTTGACTATTATATTGGTATAAGACTATAAGTATAACTAAAATGATTTTTAAAATAAAATGATATAAGTGATACTCAATGCAAATTTCAGAAACAATTAGCGTAATTACTCTTATAAAAAGTAGATTGGATTGGTTTAATCGAAAAAATCAAGAATAAATATAAAATTTTAAAATCCTTTAAAACAACTTCAAAACCAACTCATTTTCGAAAAAGTATGAGAATTAAATAATTTTGTTTAAAAGGGAGACAAACAAAGGCTTAATTTGACAAAAATTTTACGAAGCACTTGACAATTTTTCATTGGTTTTCAACAAGACAATGGCAAAGTGCTGCACTCCCTATATGATTTCTGTGATTATTATCCCCATTTCTTAAACTCAATTTTTCTACAAACACATTTTCACCCACAACTTTTATCAACTCTACAACGATACATTTTACCAACTTTTATTAAGATCTACTAAAAACCTAATTTTTATCTGAAACAAATGGGGGGCGACTTTCTTGGGTAGCCTATCTGGTGCAAAAGAGTTTATGAGATTCTTGTAATAAGATTTGAAATAAGAATTATATTAAAAAAATCTTGTTTTGTATTAATATATGATTGATTGTCTTGAAAATTGTACAATACTCCTATATT